GGATGGATGGATGGATGGATGGATGGACGGATGGATGAATGCATAGATCGGTGGATGGATGCATGGATGGATGGACGGATGGATGAATGGATGAATGGATGCATGCATGCATGCATTGATTGATAAATGCAAGATGGGTGGATTGGGTGTATAAATGTATGAATGTATGGATGGATGGATAGATGGATGGATGGATACAGGGATTGATGGATCGATGGATTGGTGGATGGGTGGGCATAACTAGTATCGAAGTGTAAGAAAATATCCTTCACATCAAAAACGATCGGAAATTAATTTCAATATGCTGATAATCTATAAATACCCTTTGCACGTCCCCTGGAGGAAAATGAATGAAAAGAAAAGTTACTTCATGGGCCTCTAGAATACGCATTCTAAATTTTGATATTTTTATACATTTGATCATTTTTGAAACTACTTTGACAAAGGGGAAAAATCCCTTTCCTAATAATAAAAAATCCCTTTTGTGGAATTAAACGTCAAACTTTTTATTGGTTTATTATTAATTAGCATTACGTAACGGTAGAAAAAAATATCCGAAAGGGAAAATGTGGATTTTTTTCTTAGGTTCATAACTGGGCGAAATTATGAAATTACTTATAGTTATATACACATAACTTTACACAAAAAATTCAAGAAAGAAAATTCATGTAAAAAAAGAGGGAATTAAATCTTTTCAACTCAAATCAAAAATTTAAAATTAAGAATGAGTGTTTGGTGCTTCTATGTGTGAAAGAGCTTGAAGATTGTTTTTCTTATGCGTTGCTCCAAAACCGATAGAAAAAAAAGCAAGTTTCGCCATTGCATTATCTGCACAAAAATTTTTTTTTTCTAGAATGTTTCAGGATAGCCTTTCTATTTTTTTGTTTTTGAATTTTATTACTCCAAAAACCCGAGAATAAATATTTTTTTAGAATTATTATTGAAAATATATTATTTGACCGGCTTTCGCTATAGAAAGTAAGAAATATAACGAGCTAAATAACTACCAAATAAAACGTTTGGTAATAAGTCTTGTTGTATTTCATTCCTGTCAGTTTGAACATCATTAATTTAGAAAGTGTCTACTAATTCCAACCCTTTTCAATGATGATGAGTTCATTTTAGGACAGAAATCGGAAAAAAAGAACTTTTTATAAAGCTGTCAAAAATGTCACGTTGAGATCTTTGATTAAGATTAATAATAAATTGATAAATTGTGTGATAAGATTTGCTCGGAGACGTAAGATTTGTGGGAAAAAAGCTTGACATATTTTTCTTTGTTGAGTTAAGAAATATATAGTTATTTTACAGATTCAAATTATTTCGTTTTAGATCTTTTTCTGAAATATATTTTTTATAATTTCTTTAAAATAGTGGTATATTTACAGCTATAAAACTACGAAGCAGTTTAGTTATTTTAAATAAGTTAAAATCTCAAACTGAAAGATAATTGGGTAATTTTTTTTTCCTTGAGAATTTCAAAAACTTAAATTCTATCAATCTCTCGGATAGGTTAAATGATTTCTTTTTTGAAAATCAAAAACTTGGAAAAAAAGCAATCTGTTTTTTATATATCTAGTTTATTCTGCTGACTTCACTTTATTTTCAGATACTGTCAGATCAACCAATTCATTTGATTCAAATAACAAAGTTTGTATGTCTAACTAACAACATAACCATGACTATGATTAATGATTTGAGCACTATTAATACATCAGTTATTTATGATTGATAACATTCAAAAGAAATAAAATATATCATGTCCAAAAAATAGAAAAAGGAAAAGACAGATTTTCCTTGTAAGACAACGTTATTCATTTCCATTACAGCTTAATTTGAAAACAGTTTTTTCAACAAGACAAGACATTTCTCATGAAAATGGACTCATTCTCGCGAAAATGGATTTTGGGATATAATTATGCTTAATCTTCTAATTGCAGATACTCGTTAGACTAAACAGAGCTTTCATTCTTTAAAAAACATMTATAAAAATTCTCACGAATGCTTTGTTCAAAATTCTGAAAATTGAATTTTTACATTGAACTTCTATTGTTTATTTTTTGTTTTTGCAGATTTGCCACCTTGTTATTCAGGGGGAAAAAAACTGGTAAAAAATTCTTTGGAATGAAAAACTTAAGCAGATGTTGATTTTCCGGGACGAGAAAGTGRGTGTTTATAACCAGAGAACTACATTGTACATAATGACAAGATAGTCCATTTGGACAACACCGAAGAAAAGTACAAACCCCAGCTCTGTTACCCCACGTATAGCTATAACAGAGTCTTTGTCAACAAGCTGATGATGTGCCACAAGGGACAAGTTAGGATTTGTTTATGGTGGGATTGTTATTGCAGCTTTGACAATACAAATTGTCATTAATCACGGCCCATTTTCTYGCGATGAATACGTACAAACAGTCGATTTACGACCAGTCGTCAGCAACAGCTTTGCACTTCCGCTCTGTGTTCCTGATGATAGCAGGTGACCTAAAGGCACATTACCTACGATCTATTGAGGGCAGTTGGAGTATTTGGATCGGAGTAGCTCTTTGTTGAACTCGACTGTTCAAACTTCAATGGCCTGTTATGTTAAGTAAACCTCTTGAGACTGCGATCTAAACGATTTGCCATAGTCTAGAGTAATTGTACGCATGATTTTTTCCCGTCCAACTTCRTTCGCTTTTACTTGACGACAGCTTTGAAAATGAGGAAATGGATCTTTTATCGCGATGACACTGAGAACCATAAAAAATATAGGGCAAAAACTAATATAAAAATAAGAATTAATTCATGGTTTAAATAACCAAAAATGTAAATGTTGGGAATTGAAAATTAAAATATTTCAAGATAGATATTATTTCCTATTTCGGAACAGAGAAAAATAAAAATAGGAGCAAAGAAAATAAATAATTAATATATAAATTGTTTAAAATTCGAGAAACTGGGARCTACAGCGATAAGGATAAAATGAAATAATTTGAGAATTTTCGCATTAAGAAAAATAAGGTAAAAAAGCGTAAAAATGGAATAAAATGAACAACCTCTTGAAGACTGAATACGAGTGTTTTTTTAGCAACGATTTGTTAACACAGTACCAGACACTATTAACCCATTCTCAGATCAACCCCCCACTAAGTTAATTCTACGAAGAAGAATAAACCTTTGTAGGCGATATAATCAAGTAATATAAACGCTGTGTGAATTATCCTTGTATCTCTACAGGTTATCAAAGCGCCATTTAGCGAGTTATCTTTCTTGGGCAAACAAACTTATGAGAATGTTTTATGTTTGTTGGTTTTTCCGTTCGTACGTATCAAGAGGAAAAAGTCTTGTTCGAGTTTGAAATTGCCTCTAGTTATTTACAAAAGTACGACAGGAACAGGCAATTATTTGGTTAGATTTTTCGTTAACTCCAAGAAGACTTCTGTTCAAGGTTGGAATTACCACATCTCAAAAGAAATACTAACAGAACTGTGTACTAGATTTGTAGGATTCTCTGTCTGTTAATGGACGAATTTAGAGAAGCTCTGTCGCTCAAGGTAAGAATTTTTCTTCTTTTCAAAAAAATAAATAAATAAATAAATAAATACACGATAAAATTGTTCATAAATTCGTAAGGTTTAATGTCTCTTTTAGTTGAAGAGCTTAGAGAGAACCCATTTGCTTTATCTAATTYAAAAAATACTAACAGACTGGTTTATAATTTTTGTTTTTTCAGGCTTTAAGTGAAAGGGCTTCAACAAGCTTGGACTGCTTTATCAGTGACTCAGTGGAACTTCTTTGTTGGGCTTCGTAGATTGGATTATGCGATTGAGGAGGAAAGCTAACAAATCAGTTCAAGTTAGTTTTCATATGGATTTCTAGAGAAAAACTATTCTCTTTTGAACTTCCACTGTCTTCATTGCGTACGAAATACCAACCTCCTTACCTATATACGAGCAGCATTTGTTCGCAACTCGAAACTAAACCAAACTGTTTATGTAACTGAATTCGTACTTATTGTACAATTAAGTCTAAAGACAGGCTTATCGCGATACGATCTAAAAAAACTTTTAACGTTTTATYAAATCTTAGGAGTGAAATGAAATGACTTAAAAGCTATGGAAGAATAATCTTCGCCGCCTATTTTTGGTAACTTGGAGAAGAAAAAGTTTTTTTATCTATGGAAGATGGAAATAGGAATTTTTATTTTTGATAATCGTGTTAAATACAAATTTATAGGAATATTTGTGAGATTTTTTTTTTTGTTGTTGTTGTATAAATTGTTAAAATCTGATTAATTATTTCAATTTTTATTTCCATGGTATTGTCATGAAATGCAATTTTGTGGATTAAGGTAAATCGAAAACGATTTTCAAACAAAAGTGAAAACAATCTTACAAWGTTTATAATGAAATTATTGATGAGGCCTTTGTAGAAGGAATCTGTCGTATTCAGTAAAATCATATGATCTAAATTCATTAAAGGCTTCAAAAATACTAGTTAAAAATGAWTTAAGATGGGAACTGGAAAAGTTACGTTTGGACATTAAATGTATTTATTGGTGKTGCAAACTGAACTGATCTGCACGCATAAAAAACGCTAAAAAATATTACAGAATAAAYTTCGAGGCAATTTTATAAAAAATTTATAAAAATCCTAAACCTTTTTATTTATTTATTTATTTTCTTGTTAGTATTTAAGTTGAGACATGATATAAAAAATACAAAAGAAGGAATGTTTTGTTAATGTTACTCGACTCGTGGCACTTTAATGATAAGTAGGATGATCTTTACCGAGATATAAATCAAAATGAAACGACTTCTATTATTGAGAAGGTTTTTACTTTCAAACTTGTCAACTTCTAGAGRAAACTTGATGAAAGCAAGTCACTAAAATTATCTCATTTTTTTGTTCAGTTTCTTGAGCATTTTGCAAAATCAAGCAAGCCAAATGGATTGACTGTTGTACAACTATATAAAGATGAATGGTGTGTAAATATGGACAGACGTTTGTTTTGCTAATGCCATTGAAAAAAGAGGACCAAATAAAGAATACTACTTGTTTGAAGATAAAAATTGCGATCACAACTATAAGGGTTGTCTACATTTATTATGATWATCTGGGCTGCCTGTAGTCTGTATATTCACCCATTAATCTCCATCCATACTTCTCGTCCAAGCATCCTTCAGTCTGTCCATCCATCCATGTATCCTATCCATACAACATATTCATTTGTTCATCTATCTATCTATCCATCCATCCATTTATCCACCCATCCATCCATTCATGCATGCATTCATTTGTTCATCCATACAATCCATGCGGTTTGGGTCCTTGTAACATAAGAATCTGTGACAGCAGGCTCAATTTTGAAAAACACTATTCTCTGCATAACGTACACCTAGTCTTATTTTATTTTTTAAAAACATTCGTGTTTTTTCGTCTTTTTTGTCGTTTTTTTTTTTTTTCAAAAAAAAATGTTTTTGATATTTTTTTTATTCCAATTAAACCTTTCATTTTACAAACCCATCCCCCCC